TATAAGAATCAGTATGAGATACATTGTATAACGTTATAAATAATAGTAAAATACATTTTTTTTGACTTGCTGGTTCCAAAATCTGAGATTATTCTGAATCGGCGCAAATTGAACCGGCGCAAATCGAGGGCTACCTGTACTACCTTATGGCAGATTATTATGAACTCACACTTCTGAAACATAAAATTAAATAAATAATAAATAAAGACCTAAAACCTGAACCTATAAACTTTTTGAAATATGGAATCTCTTCAGTGACCAAACTAAAAATGTTTATTTTTGAATATCCTTGAAGAAAGATATACTGCCTGGCTCAGATGTAAATGTACATATACTTCATGGCATGTTGGATTCCCATACTGTGTCTTACACTACTTGGAAGCTGAATGGCTTAATTACATAAATAAAAGACTCATCAAATTCATATCTTCTTCATTCTACCTCTTGAAGCATTAAGATTTATCATATGACACAAAGATTGCATATGTGTGGCTTTGTGTGATTTCTTCCCCAGAAATAAAGTTAATTTTTTACCTAAACCAGAAGCTCAAATCTGGAACTAAAATTCATAAAATTCATCTGATCTTTAACAAAACCAAACAATAGTTTGGGCCTTAAGCCAATAGAGAATTTGTGCACTCTGTTGGACATAATATCAAAAATACGCTATAATTTTATAATAAATTGTTTTGCTAGAATTTGTTTATTTGAGATATCATATACAACTGCTGCTTAGTTATTTACAAAGAACTGAAACTGAATATGTGTTTGTGCAGGAGGTGCACAACACAGTGTGCATGAGCCAGGAGCTCGCTCGTAGATGCTTATGGCTGTATCGTGTGTGTGCACCAGCAGGTGGTCAATCACAAGATCCTCCCTCATCAGGTGAAATAGAGCTACGGCGCAGATTGGAAGCATTGCACAAAGATCTGAAGGTGGGATAAACTGTGTGATTGTAATCTTGAAGTAAGCTTGCTTATTTACTGTGTTTATTTAATTGTTATCTTTTACTCATAGAATCAGCTAAATGAAAAACATATTCTGCGTATGCCAGTTCGCTGGGTTGAAGGTGGTTTGGACCTTGAGCTTCCAGAGCATGCACAGTATGTTTCAGATGTCACATTACAATTAAATAAACATCTCCAGGCTTTGGTGGATACCATTATAGAAGAGGACCAAACCAAAGTGAGTGCAATATATAATGTTACAACACATTAAAACTACCTTTAACCTCTTGCTGTGCCATTTAAATGTACATTTATACAATAAAAATTATGCAATTAAAAATTATGATATCTGATGCAATGCTGTATGTCATAAATGAGCATGCAGCAACTGAAGTGTGTAAATATTCAATGGGTGTCTAACACGATAGTTTGGAATGTCATGTATTTCCTTCTCTTTTCAAGCCTAAAATACATTTTTGTCTTTTCTAATTGTGCCTGAACTCATAAACAGCTAATACAAACCACTCATCTGTGTTGGGCTGGCTCTAGCTGGTGAACAGTGTGTTATCTGATTGTTCTTTTAATTCTGTTGTGTATAGTACCATCGAACAATGAAAGTAAGAATTTATATTTTTTGCTTTTAAAAGAATTAGCCAGACTAACATGGTTAATATGAATGCCCTGCTTATGTACTCTTTGACTAGCTGTTTGTAATGCCAATTATAAATCTTGCTTTAGTACATTAAGAACAGCTTCAAGTTACATTAATTTTACTGCATTTTACCATGTTAGGTGAAGCAAACACTCAATGTTGGTGATGATATGTGACTAACTTTGTTTTTCAGTGTGTGTTGAAATCAAGTTATGGAATTGATAGCAGACTGTTTCAAGAATTGATGCAGCAGACAGGTTTCTGTCAGAGAGCAGCACAATGTAGTATCAACCGAGAGGCAGTTTTACAGGAAATTAAAAGGTATTTAATTAGTTTATACTTTATAAAGTTATACTGATCATCTTCATTTGTGGTAAATAAACTGAACTGTTAAAAATTTTGGGCCAGATTACTTGTTGGAATATTGTGGTTCCACTTTTTGAATTTGATAGTAAGCCAATTATAGGAAGAGTTTATTAAAGTATTACATTGGAACAATTTTGATGTTACTGTCATTTCCAAACATTTTATGTTTATAAAGTAGCTCAGCCATAATTTTATAAATTTACTACATGTTTACATTATGAGAGTAAATTATACACTTTTGATAGAAAACCTAATGTTTGAGGAAAATTATTTCCAAAACAATCTAAAATTTTATTTGTACATGTAGAAAATATAATATTAAAGAGCTATGAATCAGTCAAATAATATATGTCTGTGGCATAGAGAACTATGCCAAAGGCCACAAAAATGTTCGAAAGATGGGGTGTTAGATACAGGTTCATCTGCAGTTTGTACTGTCTCATTACTTTTTACTCAGTTTTTATTTGTTACCTTGATTATTCCCTGACAAATATATGAAATTAAATTAAACTTCTGTATATAAGGGCTCAGGAATTACTATATTATGTGAAAGTAGACATTTTATTGCTATTTGGAACATATTGGTCAACTTTGAAAATTATGTACAAGATAAGACTGTTATATGTGTTACAGCTATGTGGTGGGAGAATCCCAGCATCCATTAGTAGTGTATGGACCCCGAGGTTGTGGAAAAACTACACTGATAGCCAGAGCAGCTCAGTGCTGTCACACATGGCAACCCGAAGCACTTCTTGTTGTAAGATTTGTTTCCATATCAACTCAAAGTCATACCACAGAGCAACTGTTAAAAAGTATTGTGGACCAATGCTCATTATTGACATATGGACAACAGTCCTGGGCTGTTCATGTAAGTGGTGACACTTAAGGTTAAGCATGGCATTTATGTGAAGTGATCAAAAGGTATATCAGTCTTACACATTATTTTGAGTTTATACAGTATCTCTGAATAAAGCATACCTATACATGGAATGGTGCGTATGCTCGAGACACTATTACCTTCAACTTATCTTCCCTTTTAATTTTTATTTGAAACTTATGATTTGGATGAAGTGAAAATTGCATGGAGTTTAGCAGGAAGCAGTATCATAACAATCTTTTTCAAATCATTAATTTTCACAGTGAGTTGGGTTTTGTTGCCATCCTGACTACTAGACATAGTATGCAAGAAATATGCACTACTGAAGCTGTCTATTTTAATATTATATTTAAAGTATACACATTACATGACAAAAAAACAGTGATTGTTTAGCACAGTTTTGGTGTTTTGTATGCATAGATACTGGTAAAGTGCATTTAATGAAAAGTTTATAAAATAATTGCTGAATCAATGAGATGTTCAGTTTTACAAAATATTTTCAATTCTGTGTATTGTCATATATAAGTGTATGATAACTATTTACATTTTTACTGAATTTCCCTCCGGTACAATTAAATTTTTTGAAATACTGACTGAATTCCATTCTTTCCAGTGCTTCCTGTTTTGACAAATATCGTTATTCAAAATTGTTTTATTTCTGTCTTACAGAAATTTAGAAAGAGTTTATAGCATAGTAGAATTATGACTGAAGGATTTATTAATGTATTTAACTCAGCTGCATTATATTCTGTTTGCAGTTTTACTTAAAGAATCTTGTATTTTAATATGTTATATTTTGCATTGCAGAAGTTCTAAATTATATCTTTTTATTATCTTGCAGAACATACAGAGCTATACAGAACTTCTACCCCGTTTGTTGGCTGCTTCTTGTATTCATCGTCCCCAGGTTATCATGATTGATGCTATAGATCAGGTAAACATGAGACCATTATCAATTTTGTTACCTATGTTTTCTTTGTTTTTGTTTAAGTCAGTTATTTTCATATGCTGTCATTATTTTAAGAATTTACTTGACTATGTTTTTTTTAATGAAAAGAATTTAATATAACTTTATTATGCCAGAATAGTATATAAAATTACAATTGTAATTACCTATATCAGTGTTTCCCAACTAGTGGTCAAAGAACAGCTGCCAGTTCATGATTCTATTTATTATGACAATCTCAAAATTATAGTTCATGTTATATTAGGTATGTTACACCACATCTGAGATAATTACAGTTTTAAAACTAATATTTTTTTAAGTTATCATTTAGCATTTAAATAGTTTGCATTGAACATTACTGTGTTTTAAGTAGAGGTCTCCATAGGTAAGCAGTTATGATTATTTAATGTTTTTTGACCTAATAATATTATGGATTACTGATGAAAAGTTATTTTTATGCTTTTGTGAATAATTTATAATTTTGAATGTTCAATGTGGTTGATTACATGACACTTCTTTAATTTTGATACCACATAATACTGTTACTGTATTGTAATGTTTCAGCATGTCAGCAATAATTTAATTGATAAATTATGTTGTTGCTCTGCAATATGTGGCAGTTAGCATATTATTTCTCAGAAATCCCAGTGCTGTTTAATATTTTGTAAATCAGAAATTGTAGGAAAAAACTGGTAAAAATTACAATGCCAAGAAAGCTTTCAACTATTGAACCTGAAATAATGTTTCATTGCATTTCTTTTTGACATCACAATCATTTTATTTTAAAAGGAGAGGAAGTCATTTATATCTTGGGTTGTTTGATAAATAATCAGATCTGTTTGGTTCAGAGGAAAATATCTCAAAATTCTCTTGATTGTGTTTTGCTGTTTGTCGGTGATCTCTATTTCATCCCTTTTGATGGTATTTAATTCTTTCTACTCAAGGAATGTTGTACTATTTTAATTTAAATTCCTTGAATTTTATAATCATTATCCATCATTCTTCAAAGTACTTGATGTAGTTGGTATGTTCAAGTAAACAGAACTCAGGCTTGTTATCCTTAGTGATGCTTCATGAATTTCTATTTCTGTGCATTGATATTTTATGATTTTATTTTTGCAATCATTTGTCATTGTATTATTTAATATTTCTCTGTGTTTGTTAAAATCAGTAATTATTACAGGTGAAGGAGTATGGGACACAAAATTTGGACTGGTTGCCAGATAAACTCCCTGAAAATGTAAAAATTGTTCTCTCAGTGGCTGATGACAGCCTTGTGTTTACTGAGATTCAGAAGAAAGTTAAGAATCTATCTGCTCTAATACCAGTGAGTTCTGCACATAATTCAATTTTCATGAGTTATCAAGTAGCTAAAAAATTCACAGTTTCAGGTGTAATGTTTCAAGTATAAGGATAAATCATATCAGCATCAGTGGCTGAAAACAAAGCTGAAGACATTTTCTTAAACATTTCTCTTACTGTGTAGCTTATTTCCAGTTGTATGCTTCTGGTAATTGAATCTATATAAGATATTCTGTGGTTTTATTAACTGGTCTGAAGTAGTATTCTTCAACATTTCCCTGTTTCCCGTGGTTTTTGTTTTAACACACCAAACCTTTATTCACTGTTATATTATGAACTGTGAAAGGAGGAGGATTGAACAGTGTGTGATCTTGTCTCATATTAACCTCTTGGTTACATTGGTTCCTTGCCATCTGCTTCAGCCTGAAGAGTGAAAATTTTCATATTTTTACAATAGAAATACTTATAGTGAAATTTCATCCACAGCAAATTATCTTATGCATCACAATCACTGTCCTTAGCACATGATTTTCAGTTGGTATAACCTGTACATCTTTTTTGGTAGTGTACATATTTTTATTTTTGTGTTGTCATGACTGACTTTGTTTTATTGGTTTCATAACCATAAAATTCTTTGAGTAAGTCTGTAAGTATTCAGATTAGTGTCCTGAAATAACTATAAATATCAGCTAAATATAGTTGTCAGAGAATATGTTTTCTTTCACATCTAAAAGGACTGACTAAGTTGTGGAGACTTCCACCTTCTTGCTGTGGGTTTAAATAGATTACTTCAATTTGTATGTTTTGTTACAGATGCCTGCATTGGGTAAGTTGGAAGCTCAGTCAATTCTTATGGCATCTGTGATGCAGTACAACCACAGTGTAAACAGCCGTGTCCAGGACTGTGTACGCTCCTCTGTCCAGGACTGTACTTTGCCTCTGTATGTGAAGGTATTACTATTGTGATTATGTTTATTAAAGTCTGATTATTTATATTGAGATCAATATATACTTACACTGGCATGGCAATCATGACACTGTTTTGTGTTCAGCCATGGGTAAAGTTGGACACCTAATGGCTGACACTCTGTTATTTCTGTATGCAAGATTATGTTCTCTGAAGGTATTGTCATTGTTACAGTTGCTTCTAATGCTTAATCTTGTCAAACATCCTCCATTTACTTTCTGTGATCTGTTAATTATAAGCATAGATCTGCATTGCCACTGGAGTATATGATACTTTTATATTGTGAAATTTTTAACCTGAATACAGTATGAAGAGGAATGGGTGGATGAAAGAATGGATGGGTGGCTGGACAGGTGGATGAATAATCTGTACATGTATACAATCATTCAGTCATTCCCATGTGTACTTGAAATGGTGCTACACCTTTTTCCTTGGAATGTTAGGGATTCGATTTTTGTCATTAATAGAATGTGTTGCTGTGTTTTATCTTGTATTATTTTGCTCTTGTTTCTTTAAGAGTTTATAAATATATTATTTTGGTGTGAGGAACATATACATGTATATTTTTAATAAAAGCTCTGTGTGTCAATTGTCTTCATACTTGTGCCTCATGGGAAAGTGTGTGTCAGGGACAGTATTATAGGATCAGTGCTCATGAGGGCAGAAAGGAAATGAATACAGAAAATGTAACTTGGCCTCATTTACATTGTTTTATCTTTGTTTTTATATATGTTATTATGTTCCATGCTGGTAAGCACTCTTGCCTGATTTTTTTGTTCTCATGTAACTGTTAAGTAATGTTGTCATGTGTAGGTGCTGGCATGGCAGACATCTTGGTGGACAGATAAAGATCATGATATTGTGCCAAAAGGAAATGTCACAGATCAACTTCATCTTATGCTGGAAGAGCTAGAAACCATCTTGGGCAAGGAAAGGGTATGTTATGTTTAAAGTTTGATATAATTAATTGAGTTTACATTAAATAACATTATAAAATCTGTACAATTTGATTCAACAGGTAGAACATGCTCTGGCACTGGTTACAGCAGCCAAAACTGGACTCAGTGATTCAGAGATGCTGGACCTTCTTGCTCATGATGCAGCCTTCCATAGTCAAGCTACTTATGGTGAGGTATAGATATTGATATATTGTTTGATTTAGGTGCACTAAACTTTTGCAAGCAAGACATCCAAATACCCAAATTTGCACATTCAAACTCAAGCCTTGACTTGCATGTTTTATTGAACTTGAATGTTTTTGCTTTGTTTGTCTTACAATTTTCAGAAAATTCTGAACAAACAAATTTTATTTCATATTATTACAAGGTTATAGAGTCCTTTTCTCTCTCCTAAAAGAAATCATAAACTGATGGTGTTTGAGGAGAATATGTGTACTTAGGAGAGAGGAATTAATATAATAATGGAGAACATTACATTCTGAGGAGCTTCATATTTTGTACTATTCAAAAATCAATATACATTTATATAAGTAAGAATGAAATTTACTTTGATATCTAAATTTGAGAATTAGATAATGCACATTTGAATTTCTTTTCTTCACTTAGATTGGAAATGTTAAATCAATTATTTAAAAGGATTTGACTTCTCTGTTTAGTTTTGTGGGCACCAGGATGCTTATTTTGGGCCAGACTCAATAAGTATCTAGCTCCATTTCTGCTCTGGTCAAGTGTAGATGGCCTAAGCACATTGCTTTGGCGAGATGATATGCTATACAATGCAGTGAAGCAAAGATACCTTGGTGATGAAACAAGAAGACGGTGGGCTCATCAGACACTTGTTAATTATTATCAGGTACGTGAAGTTATAGAAAGGAATCACATTGCCTCTGTCAAGAATTGAACCCTGGTCATTGGGAACACAGCCAATCATTGTACTAACTGAAGTGTCACAACATGTGATCTGATCATTGCCAATGTTGACACAGACTTGGAACTTTGTTATTGACTAAAGTATTGACAAATTGTTTTACTTGTGATTGTGTTCATTATTGAATTTCAGTATTGATATTTCTTTGTTCTTGTTTTCTACGTAGTCATAATGTCGTAAGATATGTGTGTAAAGAAGAAGTTTGCTTTTTGATATGTATAAAGAGTTACTGGTGCAGAGGTGATATTGTAAGGTATTGTTACTTAGTATGTGTTTACAATGGCAGTAACCTGATATCATACTGCCATTTTTAATTATACCACATTTCTTCTTTGCTTTATATCTTTCACATGATTTTAAGTTCTCTCCCTACCTTCATTCCATGTTGCATACTGTTTTTGCTTTTGTTCTATTGTACAAAAATAACAAAATATCAAAATAGACTGGAGAAGTGGTCATTGATTTGAAAATTAAGTGCAAACCCTATGTAAAAACTGAAGATTCTTTGACAATCAATGACTCATTTTAAACTTGTCACATATTTGCTCTGAATAGCCAAAAATCAATCAGTTTATTTACATTTTAGTAAAATTTTATTTTATTTTTATTATATGTTGGCAGCAACTGATATTGTTGTTTCCTACTACTTTAATTGTTATGCTAGACACCCACATATGTGAATTAAATATTATTGATACTGTAGTTATTTTTTTATGCCATGAACGGCGAGTACTCCGTTTCCTCGTATGATGATGTAGTATTTGAAGTTTTCACAGTGGTGTGAATTTAGATTGTGGTCTCCTGGTTTTTTGCTTCCTTCATTCTGAAGATCTTTATTCATCTTCAGGATGGAGACAGTTTGTTCCTCCAAAGTTTGATATAAAACAAGGAAAGGCTGAAGAGGGAACAAATTATGCATTGTAAACAGAGATTGTCACTAACTTGGCTTTTGATTTACTGACATTTACTGAAATATTTTTGTAACTT